CAAACGTGGATGATTCACTGAGGGAACTCTTCGCTATCAACGCTCATTGGGGATTGTATCAGTATCAGAGGTCACTGTTTGTTGTGAAGACAACTCCATCCATTTTCAAACAATTTATGGACATCTTTAACACTGGAATCCAAGGTGTAGCAGCGTATTAGGATGCGATTATGTCCGGGGAAACTTACAGACCACACAGTGTCAAAGTTCGGTGTGTTCTGTTCCCATTTACTTGAGGGCAAGTGTGATTTCTTCATGCAACCTACTTTGGCTTTGTGGTGGACAAAGATGATTGTTTGCCAGACCCAGAAAATACTCCGGCTACTTAAAAGATGTCACCTCTGCACAACATCAGTAAGTTACATCCCTTTTTAGGACAAATCAGTTTCTTTAGTTTTTCTGTCCCAGAAATGCATCAACAGACTGCTAGAAGAAGATGCCAAGGAGGAATGTTTGAGTGTATGCCAACGTACATATGAGAAAGTTAGGTAGATGCTATCTTCCAACTCACTCCTAGTACACTTGAAATCAAAGTTGAAAATTACTGTTGTGACTGAAACATCCAATTGTGGTGTCAGTGATATTATCTCTCACCTGTTGCCGGATGGTGTTGACAATCCTAGCACAGAGGATCCAGAAACTGGCAAAAGCTTAAATAAACTGAAGCCAGATAAAGAAGGAGGGTCTGGCATTGGTATCTGGTTTAAACGTTTCACAAAATGCCTCATAGACGCAGTTTCACCCTACTTATTGGTCAAAAACCAAAAGTGTCAGTTTCTGGGTCCTAAGAAATGAATATAGAATGTTCTGTTGATGCACTCAAACGAACAACTCTGAAAGGAGGAGAGGATAGAAGAGATGCTTCAAATGTTCCGTTTGGATTATTGATCAACACTAATTTCTAACGCACTGCACCCGGCTGAACATACAATTGAACGTTAAATTCGTATTTGGCTGGTCTTTTTTCAAGATATCAAGATATGCATATGCACCCGCTTCAAATGCTACCATTACATAAAAAATGAACACCTTACAGCCACACATATTCACTAGTTTCAAGACGAACCCGATGATGCAAAGGCAACTTTCCACCCCACTCCCCAAGGTGTAGAGGAGTGAGCGTGCAACATCTGGAAGAGACACTTTGTTTGAATACGAATGCTCCGCACAAGGCATTCTCATAACGGTCCACGAAAACAGCCGGCATTATTTCGCTCTTGATGACAGGTTTCAACATCCCCGCGAGTTTCTTTTCCGTAGATACGTTATAACTAATACCTTGGCAACTGACCCATATAAAAATATTGTCGACTAAATGGCGTATTATGCGAGATACTTACGGCAAAACGATGAGATGAAAAAATCGCGTCATCGAACAAGTAATTGTACGCTTCTAGCTGTAATGAACAAGTGTAACGGCAGCCAACATTTCTAAAATGTAAAGCGGACTTTCCACAGTAGTACATATAGATATATATGTATATATATGACAAGGGTCACTTAAGTAATCACGATAAGTTGCCTAGTGCTTTGAGTTTACAGGTCTCCCTCCAAAACCATATGAAGTTTTGTATCCTTATAGACACACTAAAATGATGTAGACATAAGTAGATATGCATAAGCATAATCGCACTAATGGAACACCTACTTCTCCGTTTCTTCAGAGGACTTTAGTCAAGTATTCTCTGATAATATTGACACCAGCTTTGTAACTTTTCCAGAAGGTAACTTGAAAATGACACCCTTATACATTGGAAAGGATACTATCCTAAAGTGGCTTCTAAGGCTCAATCCTGGTAAGTCCAGTGGCCTTGATGAACTCCACCCACTTATATTAACAGCACTGGCTGAAAACATAGCCGAGCCATTCAATATGTCTCTGGACCAGTCTAAATGTCCAAGAGACTGGAAAGATGCCATCATTAATCCGGTCTTCAAAACCGGATCTAGAAACTTAGTTCAGAACAATCGTCCTGTTAGTTTGACCAGTGTGGTTGTTAAACTACTAGAAAAAATAATTCGTGATGCTATCATTCAGTTCATTGAAGGAAACAAACTTTTCGCTGTGGAACAGCATGGTTTTAGAGCAGGTCATTCTTGCTTGACCAACCTTCTTTTGGCTAGAGAAAGTTGGGCAAGCTCAGCTGATGCTAATATACCGGTGGATGCCATATTCATCGACCTTAGCAAGGCGTTTGACAGGGTTTCTCATTCAGGTCTTCTAGTAAAGTTAGGTAGTCTGGGAATCAATAAAATGGTTGCTGACTGGATTCAAGACTTCCTAGAGGACAGAAGACAAAGAGTACGAGTTAACGGTGTTTTATCAACATGGGAATCGGTTAAGAGTGGCGTTCCTCAGGGTACAATTCTAGGCCCACTTCTTTTCCTGATTTATGTTAATGAGATTCCATCGGTAGTTAAGTCATCCTGCATACTGTTTGCTGATGATATCAAGATATGGAGGGCTTTACACGATGACAGTGATCAACTTGCTTCGCAGTAAGATTTAAACTTGTTAAGTGATTGGTGTAAGCACTGGGTCTTGAAGATTAACTTAAGCAAGAGTGTAGTTATGCATGTATCTCATAGTCGCGTGCACAATTACTCAATGAATGGCATTACTCTCCCAGTGGTCAATGAGTACAAGGACTTGGGAGTGGTTGTGCAGCATGACTTGAAAACAGCAACAAACTGTAGAGCTGCAGCCACTAAGGATTTTCGAATATTATGGGCCATACGCAAGGCTTTTGTGAACTTTGACGCTGATATATTTCGTATATTATATCCGACTTATATCAGACCTCATTTGGAATGTGGGATCCAGGCAGTGAGGCCGTGTTTCAAATACGAAATAGACTTATTAGAAAGGGTGCAAAGAGTAGGAACTAAGCTAATAAAGGATTTATCAACCCTCTCATATGAGGAGAGGTTAAGTCGACTGGGTTTATTTCCACTATCATACAGACGACTTAGGGTTGACCTAATACTAGCATACCGTATCCTAAGAAATGATTTTCGAGCTAATTTATTTCTTCCTTCTAGCACCAACCAATTGCGAGGACATCACCTCAAGGTTCAAAAACCACGGTCGAATCGTCTGTGTCTGGAGATCCATTTTTTGCATCGAATTGTGAACCATTGGAATTCCCTACCGGAATACGCAGTATCAGCGCCATCCGCTGATTCATTCAAGGCGAGATTGAACCTCCTGTGTGCAACAAATCGAAAGGATTAACACAGGCATATAGCCTACTATCCTAAATAAATTGTAAATCCAGTGCAATAAATAGGCTTACGAGAGATTGATAGCAGGTGTAAGCTTTAATAAATTGGAGGAGTGAGAGAGACAGAATTAACACTATCCCATCAAATTCGCAATTTGAACAGTTACAGCTGAAATTCCACCAGTCTCCTTTGGAAACTAAAACTATTCAGATCATAGTATGTGATCTGCTTGATACCTTTAGTGATAATGAAGAAGGCAGGGATAAACATATATCACGCTGCATACAATTTACTGGTTGACATTGATGATTGAATATCACTCATATCAGTCAGTAACGATAGCTTTCTTGATTGCTATTCACGATTTCAAACAGATCACTTATTCTGATCTGAATAATTTTGTCCTCCAAAAGAAACTGTAACTATCTGAGCTGAGGCAAACTGAGTAAACAACACTGGTGAGCTCAGCCCCAAAGCCAACGGAACCACCATCCGGAAGTTCATTACAATTTGATGTAGCTGAGTACCTTCCATTGTTGACTGACTGCAGCAGTTCTAGACGTCAAACTCCCTCCATGTCCCACACAAATCAAGAGGAGAGAGATTCGAAACAGAGATATGAGGCAAAAGGAATAGTAATATGGAAGAACAATACAATTTTACTGGATATAATAAATCACAGAGTGAATGCATCTGCACCATTGAGAACGATTTTCAACTATCTCCAGCCATTGGTTTTTACCATCCCGAAGAACCCAACTCGCCAAGAAGCCTGCACCTCTCCAAGTGGATTAAACTATCTGTCGTGGATTTTATTGAGTGGTGTTATGTTTAGTTTGACCACTACTAGTTCTCTCTTTTCCAACCTGATCCTTCCTATGTCAGTCAGGTAACACTGGACATCGACGAAAGCGATCGATGCAGCCGTTTCACAACCTCAGTGTTGCTCACCTTATTGTACCAATGAACACAGGATATAGAACGCAGACACCTATGATCAAAGACACCTAGCTAGCCTTATTGCATCTCCCACTTTCAGTGGCCATATCTCACAACCATACAGGAGGACAGAGTAAACTGATGAGCAGTACATACACCATTAGGTAGACAGTCAGTCGGATATCACGTCTACGTAGGCAGAAACGGCGTAAGTTGGCATGTGCCAAACGAGTCTTCTGTACCCATGTTGAGATTTCGTCAGCGAACAACCCGTTAGGGCTGGCTGATGCAACTCCTCAAAAAACAATAAGTGAAGTGGCCAACACGCTCCATCACTTCACTCCATATCTTAAAGCTAGGATTAGTCAATGTAGTCCAGTCCTGTAGCTCCATCTTACATCTGACAGGAGCCGGTGAATCGCATGCCAAACATTCACAGATTGCTGCTCAAGGTGTTCAGAAGACTTTGAATTTACGCCTAGAAGGACTATTATTACTCCCTGGTAACAAATCAATCCCTTCACTGTTGGTTAATGTGAATGATGCCATCCCACTACTCAATTGAGATGAGTAAGAGCGAAAGCTAAGTGGAATACATAAAAGAAAAACCCAACCATCCGTTTAGAAGACATGGACAATTCACGGCTAGCTTGCTCACCAGCGACCATCACCTACCTTTTCCTTAAGCGTACGCACACACACACACGCATACTCAATGAAATCAGAAATTTATAACAGAATACAAACAGAGGGAGAAAGAGAAAGCGACAAAAACATTTTATCCTATTACAAAATAACAAAAAAGCGGTGGATATCAAGTGTGATGATGAAAGAAAAGGAGCACAAAAAAGATTACTTCCTAACAAATTTTAATTGTATTAATAATAGTAATAATAATAATAACGGAATTAAGCAGTTCAAAAGTCTACAATAGGACTAGGTTGGATTGGATTTTTGCTTCTCCCATTTGGCGGCAAAATCTTTCTTTCCCCCCCACCTCCCCTCATTCAAAAAACACTGGATATCAGCAACCGGTAGATGATTACAATATTAGTAGTAGTAATAATAATAATAAACAGAATGTTACATTAGTGGCTTTCATATTAGAAAAACAACCCTGAAGAAACAGTTTTTTCTTTTTTAAATATAATTTTTCCCTCATTTTTATACAAAAAATATTTAGAACAAAATAAGATACATACATGCGCGGCGGCACACATATATGAGTATAAATTATTATTATTATCACAGCATTGGAAAGTATCAAAAAGTGAAAAATAATGCATACGCAAATAGAAAGAACCTGTCAGCAGGCAGAAGAAGAAGGGGCAAAAAAGAACAAGAACAAGATGACGCTTTCAACTACATAATAATTTGTGGTTCAATCACTGACTGTGATATACTTTTATGCGGTAATACACGAGCACCATTGACAAATAATTCATCGGATACAATAACATCTTCGCCGAGAACAGATACATTCTCCATTCGAACCTTTAGAAGAAAAAAATACAACAAAACAACAAAGGCATTCATTTAGTGAATTATTAAATAGCACAGAGCAAACAGACGTTAAAAACCTACAAAATAACAACAAGCAACTACAAAGCTGGTCAACATTATGAGTACCGAGAGATGCGCCACACGAAAGCTCATCACCTTTTGCAAGGGCAGGGGAGATACTATCCGGATGATGATGATGATGACGATGCACAGACCGAATCAGGTGATTATTGGTGATTGTCTTCAGGGGGAGGGGGAGTCTCCTACAGAATATTTGACTTAGAGTCTCGCATTCCTCTTCTCTTGTGATGTGGAATCCGAGAACAAAAAGCCTCATTTTTAGACGTCTTAATCAAGTTGAACAACCACAGTGAAGAAGAACTACAGTTTTTGCAGAATAAAATGGTACCATCCTTTGTTTATTTCGTTGCCTTCTCGTCAGCTGCTTACAGGCCAAAGACATTAATAAATGTATCTACAAAAACAATTTAGCATACTTGCACAGAGTTCATTTTAAACAAAAATCAATCGATCAATATACACATGCTTAATTTTTACTTTACTTCGGCTATCTCCTACGGGAGGATAAGCCGGCTTCATGAACATCTCGAATCAAGAGAGTTCATGAAGTTTCATGGGAATTTGGTACGAGTGATGTCCCCAGAATCGCTCGGCCTTTTGTTTGAGAGTGCAGCTCTAGCCTTTACACAACCAAGTGTGACCTACAAGGTAGTAGGAGTGGAGTAGGGAGTCCACTATCAATTGGCAGCCAGTAACCGGAGTTCGGTTCATACGCCTTTTTGAATGGGGCCAGACATCCAGGACATCCAACAAGCCCTTTATCCATACGTCTGCCCGTGAGCTCCAGTGAGCTTCATACGCCAGTCGTTGGAGGTTTGGAATCAGGGTTTAGCCATCTCCCCTAGACTGTCATCCAATGGACAGTCAACCCGGTGAAGAGCGCCGGGCATCCGCTTTCGCCCTCTCACTTTGGTGAAAAACACCTGCACTAATAATATATATATATATATATGCAATATTAAACACTATTCCGAAAAATAATAATCAAACGCAATGGCCATGGCGATGGTAACAAATGCTTTAAACAGTTGCATGGCCAGGCATCTCCTCGACACGGGTCATGAGGTGGACATCTAAAAGTCGTTCAAAATTATCAATAGGCAAGGGAGCTCAATTCTCCTCAAGTTTGCTGAAGACATTTCCATCAAGCGCCTGAAACCTGATTTATGTGTCCAGAAAGAAACAGTTATCAGTCTTTCTTTGTCAACCTGGTAACTGGATATTTTCATCTGTCTTTCATCCGAATGCGAAATGATGAAAAGTTTTCATTGTGTATGATCACTATTGTTCGGAATAGTGTTTAATATTATATATATATATATATATACATATATATATATATATATATATATATATATATATATACGTATATATTAATAGTGTATGCGTATATTGATCGATTGATTTTTGTTTAAAATGAACTCTGTGCAAGTATGCTAAATTGTTTTTGTAGATACATTTATTAATGTCTTTGGCCTGTAAGCAGCTGACGAGAAGGCAACGAAATAAACAAAGGATGGTACCACTTTATTCTGCTAAAACTGTAGTTCTTGCTTTGTTCAAACTTATTAAGGGGAATAAATGTATGGAACCAAAGGGAAACTAGAAACTCAAGTTTATAGAAAATCAACTCACACAAACCATATACTCAATTACAACAACAACAATCCAATAACACACAAAAAAAGTTGTATTCAAACACTATTCAAGAAAGTTAGCCAGGACTCATTGCAGCGAAAGATATCTCATGGACGACTTCCAAAAGAATGGATATCCACAGAATTTCATCAAAAGACATATACCCCAAGCCAACCTACTAAATCAAAGTCCCCCAAGGAAAGCACAAAGAAAATCGCCCTACCATATATAAAGGATATCTCAGAAATCACTGCAAGATTCTTCAAACCTTTAGGAATCGATGTTGCACACAAACCAGCAAAATCACTTCACTCAGCCAGCCACCAGTGTGCCAACCAAAAGATTCAACAACGTAAGAAGATAAAACCAACATCATCTCCAAAATAAACTGTAACGACTGAGAAAAAACACTACATTGGCCAAAGTGGACGTCCTCTTCGTCTTCGTATCCATAAACATAAACTAGCCATCAAAAGACATGAACATCCACTCTCTCATATCACTCGCTGCATACAGACAACCACGGACATCATTTCGACTGGAACAACCAACATTCAAATATTAGACAGAGGAAACACAAAGAATGCTAGAGAATTTTTAGAAGCCTGATATTCCAGTGAATCGTCAATCAATAGACACCAAGCGAGATACACAAAATTTACCAACCGATAAGAACGAAATCTCGCACTTAAATGGTCAAAGTTCAAGTCAAAGAAACAATCAGCCTAATAGGTGTGAAAACACACAAAAACAACCAATCACATTCAAGACCACCAGGATAGATGACTAATAAACCCATGGAGAAATCTAAAAGCTCACTTCATCAAATTGAAGTATGCGCTGAAGATGTTGCCTAGTAAGTAGAGCAATGGAAGCTTCGCAAATAAACCACCGAGCTCAGAGAACACAACTACATAAAAATCATCCAACTAGGCTAGAAATCTTATCCACCAGTCTTCAAGTCTGATCTGCAAGATAGTGAGGCACGTCACATGTTTATGATGACAGTAGGCCACGGTCAGACTACATATTTTTGCTCACAACTATATCCTTGGACAGAAAATATCCTTTTATGGTTATCTTCACTGACACAATGCCAATGGTTATATGTATATATATAATTCTGTTTTGGTGGAGTCGCTTTGTTATACGGATACTGTTAAGTATCCTTTTCATCTCACGTCGTTGTGTTTTGGCTGCAGTAGAGCGGACGTAACTGTCGCATAATGTTGTCGGGTGTAATCAAGCCGTATATTCGTGATCAACGCGTCTAAGTTCAATCTGAAAGTTATGGCGTAATCAGGTTGCTTGTTCACAGCAGTGCAATCTCAATTCGCCTCATGTTTGCCAAAGCAATATATATCAAACGTTTGAAACCCAATTTGTGTGTTCAGAAAGAAACAGTTATCAGTCTTTCCTCGCACTGAATGATAACTGTTTGTCTTTATTCTCTCTTTGATTTGATTACGCAATCTTTGGTTTTAACCTTATAGCCCTTTGAAATAGTGTAATTTTGCTTGTCTCTTGTTTCTATGATTTCAGTTAAACTCGGTACATTGTTATCTTCAAGTATTGTTTTGTAGGGATTTGGTTGATTGGTTACAGGATTTCATCATGAACTGACATTGGTTAGAGAACCATTGGAAAACCACCTGGGAGTACTGGACAGCTGTTTCGTCCTAGGTTGGGACTCTTTATCAGTACGCACCCTACGGGGTTCGAACCCAGGACCTTCTGGTTACAAGGTGAGCTTGCATACCATTAAGCCACTGGGACCCGATCCAATGGCCCATGAATTCTAACTTCTGCCAATTCACTCAGCATCTTACGCATCTCTGGTCTTTATTACGTGACTTCTTTACCATTGTATGCATACATTTACTTTGTCTAAACTTGAACTCCCTATGCGAAAACTATATGAGCGTAATTTTCTGAGCACTGTTCACTAATTTCAGAACTTCCTGTCAACTGGCTTCATGTAAAATTTGCAAGTATGTTGAAAGCTTTTCTGTACATCAACTTCATAATAATTTATTTAGACTGTAAACAAGCAGCTGATGAGAAGCCAACGAAATAAACAATGATGGCACCACAATATTATGCTGCACAAACCACACTGCTGTTGTTCTTCTTGCTTTATTCATTATTACAGAATTCTCCAGATACTACTGTTGTTCTTCTAATCATACTATTCAAAGGTTTGTTTAACAAAGAAGATCTGGACACTTAATAACTGCAGCTGCAGGTGTATTCCCGTAATTGTTTATATGCTCAGCAAGATAATAATGGATTGGACACTCACTGAGGAGGCCGTTGGGTGACATCGCGCGTCAGGCCAACGCTCGAGTGGAACCCGAAAGGGAAGTGGCGAGTGGGACGTCCAAGGATGACATGGAGGAGATCGTGTGAAGAGGAGTTGAAACAGTATGGACTAACATCGATGCAGGTGAAAAGTACAGCAGAAGACAGAAGCAAGTGGAGACGTGCACAGTTGAAGCCCTATGTTCCACTAGGAACCTAAGGGAACAATAATAATAATAATAAGATAATAATAGGCTTTATAGGGTCTTATGGATCAAATGAACTTAGACATTCTGATAGACAACAAAAGTCAAGCGGTCAATACACAATAGAGTCACACACACACACATACATGCATCGACAGGCAAGTAACGAAACTGATGGATACGCACAGGTTCAATCAGTCAAATATCCAAGTAGACTCTACAAAATACTTAGCTGTGAAGTCTCTGTAGGGACTGAATTGGTTTTCCAAGGTAGGATGGCTAGCCCCAGGACTCATCCCTAGAATTACGATCTAGATGAGGATGTTACGAACAGAATCGAAGAGGTAAAACAGACCTTCGTCAATCTGAAATCAGTTCGGAGTTTTCAACACCAATTTTAAGTCAGTCACTTCTTCTTCTTCTATCTGGGTGCTCAGCGCGTCACACAAAAAACATTTCCAACAGGCTACTGCAGCTGCCTTTGTTAGCTCCAAATATCCGGTCAGAAGGAATTATTAGCAACAAGAAACTCTGGACACGAACCAATCAAGAAGCTATTATTCCTCAATAATAAATATCCCAAAGAAAATGGGAGTGAATCGGTAACACACTGACGAAACCGTTGTGTGACATCGCAGAAAGGAGCCCGAATAGGAAAGGACGAGTTGGACTTGGATTGAAGGGTGAAATGAAGGAGATTGTGTGTGGGGGGGGGGAGGAAATGAGAGCCTAAGGGCAATAGTGGAGTCAGATGAAGAGGAGTGCAGAGAACTGGATGAAATTGAGATGTACTCGGAACCCAAGGGAATAATAATAATAATAAAGTACTTGATACAATCAATAAGGCTTTCTGTGTGATTTAAAAAACAAGATTCAAACTGATTCAAAAAAGGCGAATAAACAATTATAACGAGAAACCACCTACCCATTGTCCAATAATACACCGCCAACCAACAATACAATTTTCTATCCAAGAATGAGCATTAATAACACTTCCTTGAAGCAGAGTAGAATTACGAATACGAACGCCATCGCCTACAACACAATCTGCTCCGATAACAACACTAGGCCCAAGAACACAAGTAGGCGAAACTACAGCTGTAGGATGCTACAATGAGATTAAAACAAGTTTTTATGAAAAACGAAATTATGAAACTGAATTAGCTACCTTAGAAAAAAAGTAAAAAGAATAAAGACAAATCACTAAATTTCACAAGGATAATACTCGGCTAGATAAATGAGACACATACACATATATAACTAAGAAGACAAAATATGACAGAAAGAAGAGGCGTAAACATAAAGCTCTGGGTTCGAACCCTGGTGGGTGAAGAGTCCCACACTAGGCTGACGAAACAGCTGTCGAGTACTCCCCTTAGTTGGTTTACCAACGGTTTCTTAACTCATGTCAACTCGTGACCAATCAAATCTCTGCAAACCAACACTTGATAATTAACCTGATACTCACTAGCGACTGGTCCTTTACACGTGAAGTTACCTGGAGTTCCAATGAAAAGTCATGACCAACATGGTTACTCCCCAGTTATTTTGCCCACACTATGTTAGTCAGGTAACATTGCCCATCGAGGAATATGCGGACGATATAGTCCTTCTAGGCGAGGACGCTGACAAAATGCAGAGTCTACTGAACACCTTGAGCAACAATCTTCGTATGTTTGGCATGCGATTCGCCCCTGTAAAATGTAAGATGATGCTGCAGGATTGGACTTCACCGACCCCTAGATTAGAAATAGGAAGTGAAGTGATAGAGCACGTTGACCACTTCACTTACTTGGGAAGTGCCATCAGCCAGTGCCAACGGGTTGATCTCTGACGAAATCTCAGCACGAATACAGAGGGCTAGCTTCGCATATGCCAGTTTACGCCGTCTCTGGCGTAGACGTGATATCCCACTGGGTGTCGACCAAAGGGCGTGTGTACTGCTCAACAGTCCGCTCCGTCCTCCTTTATGGCTAGCTGTGAGACCTGGCCATTGAGAGCAGAAGACATGAAAAGATTAGCTGTGTTCGATCATAGGTGTCTGCGTTCTATCTCCCGCGTGAAGTGGTATATATACTGAGGTGAGCAATATTGAGGTTAGGCGTCGAGTGCTAGGTAAGGAGGGGAAATCAATGGACGAGACTGTGAAATTACATCGACTGAGATGGTTAGGACATGTGTTACGTATGCCTAGTCATCGCCTTCCTCGACTGACGGGCAATGTTATCTGACTAACATAGGGTCAGGCAGGAAAAGAGCTAGCATGTGGCGGTCAAACGAAAACATGGCACCAGTCAATGAAATCTACAACAGTTAGTCTAAGCCGGCCACGTAGGAAGGTGTACACTTCCTGACTGACTGGTTCGGGTCCTCGGGACGGTAAAAACCAATGGTTGAAAACAATTGGTGATATGGCTCAAACTCATCGTTCTCAATGGCTGATGCATCCACTCCTTGTGACTTATGATTTCCAATGAAACTGTTTTGTTCTTCGTTATTACTATTCCTTTGTCTCACACCTCTGTTCACTGTTTATATTATACCATTCTCCTACTTTCTTCTCTTGCTTTGTGTGCTACAAGAAAGGGGTGTGGCGACTTGAACTGCCGCACATATGTGCAAAGTTCTATGTCGAAAACCAACCGACCGACCGGCCCATCGAGGAAGGCCATGATTGGGCATACGTAACACATGTCCTAACCAACTCAGTCGACGTAGCTTTACAGCCTCGTCGATTGATTTCCCCTCCTTACCTAGCACTCGATGTAGAAAAAGATGACAACTTTTTGCTTTTCATTTCCAATCTTTCGGGTTCCAAGTGGAACGTAGGGGGGTTCGAGCCCCAATGCCAAATCTTTTCTCATCTCGGGATTCAGAAGTGCCATCAGTTAGTAAATCGAGTTTTCGACCACATGAGTGATTGGGGAGCATTCTATCACTGATCCTCAAGGGCACTAATAATTTTACAAAAATACATCAAGTCGTTGATTGGTAAACTCATACAAACACATAAAAACATATCACTGGATAGGTGGTGGATATTTCTTCCAACGTAGGACTCGTCATCTGAACACACCTGTGCCGCACTAAAGCACCATCGAAGCATTTGCATACCTTACAGTTGATAAGCCAAAAGTTTGATTTTTTTGGGGTGATATAAACAAATAACGGAAAAATTCAAAAAAAATAAAACAAAACGCATAACTGCCTTCTAATGAAATAACAGAAGATCCATGAGAATAATGGTAACGGTAAAGAATAGACAGCACAGTCGAATGACCTTGAACCAACCAATCAGGTAGCCGAGCAGCATTAAACATACATGCTTTTCATAATCTTCGTTGCAAGTTTCACCCTGATTCAGGGTTAAGGTTATGTTAGGGCAGGTTTAAGGTAGGATTATTGATTAAAGGTTAAAGTGAAACTTACAAAGAAGATTATGAAAAACATCGATTTGTAAAACTCAGCGATCTGATTGGTTGGTTGGTTCAAGATTATTTTACCGTGGTGTCTATTCTTCTTTACTGTTGGTGAAATAACTTTCAAAGTCAGCTAAAAGTAGAACAACTTTTGTATTATTATTATTATTATTATTATCTTTGCTCCACTTGCGCTAACAATTCTTACCATAATCATCATTAAAATAAACACAGAAATGAAAGGAACATACACCCGCATACACACACACACAACAAGAACCACAAATTAACAAAGACTATTCACATACTATGATAACAGTTCCTTGAATATTATCTCCAGTTGCAAGTTCTTTGACATTATTCGATTGTTTCAAATAATTAAGATACAGATTTGTACCTTTTAAAAAATCATTTGGTTGTCCAACATCCATCCAAAAACCTAAATAAAAAGATGAAGTATTTAAAAATAAAGAGTTTAAGAATATAAGAAGGACAAAGAAAAAAAGTAAACAGAGAGAGAAAGGAGAGCGTCAATGCACATGTATAAACAAGTTTTTAAAAGAAAATCAATAATTCCCTTTCAAGCTTTACAGTTGTGGAGATGTGGTGCAGCAGCACTTCCTAAGAGCTCTCGACTTTCAGTCAACAACCAGCCACAGGTTCGAGTCCCGTCCCACCTACTTCAACCTGAGCGCAACTAGGTAGTGTCATTGATTTCCCACCACCACCACCACACACGCAATAAATGTGATTTATAGCCCAATAATTGAGATTTAATTAACTAAGCTCTACAATTACATATCGAGATTTTGATGTGGTTGTGTTCTCCGAGCTGGATAGTTAATTTGCGAAGCTTTTCATCACCCTACTAGGCAACATCTTCAGTGCATGCTTCAATTTGATGAAGTGAGCTTTTAGATTTCTCCACGAGTTTATTAATCATCTCTCCTGGTGGTCTTAAACGTGATTGGTTGTTTTTGTGTGTTTTCACACCTTCTAGGTTACTTGTGTTGGAACTGATTGTTTCTTTGACTTGAAATTTCACCCTTTGTGTGTGAGGTTTCTTTCTTATCGGTTGATAAATTTTGTCAATCTCGATGTGTCTATTGATTGATGATTCACTGGAATGCCAGGTGGACTTCTAAAAATTCTCTGTCTAGCATTTTTGTTGTTTCCTCTGTCTAATATTTGAATATTACGGCCAATTCTTTCAATGTGTAACTCGCCTACACATAAATTAGCAAAATGGCTAGCTGATATTTTAAGTCCAGTGCGCAATGAATTATGTAAGTTTACTTTAAAAGATACATTTGAACTTGTTGACTGTCTTGTAGATATGAACATAAAAGATAGGAAAATGTATTCATTTGACGTTAATTCTTTGTTTACTAATGTACCATTGGTTAAGACTGTTGATATTCTTTGTGATTATATATCTTCTAGTTGTTTTTCACTTCCTTTTCCTTTAACTTATTTGAAAGATTTATTACTATTGTGTACTGATAACGTCCATTTCACGTTTGAAGGTGAACATTTTAGACAAGTGGATGGTGTTGCTATGGGGAGTCCATTAGGACCTTTATTAGCGGATGTTTTTATGTCTTATGTTGAAAACTTATCTTCTGATTTAATTTCTAAACTGCCTTTCTATAGGAGATATGTAGACGATATCATTTTGATATGCGATGATCATGAAGATGCGAGTCGTCTATTGGACAGACTCAACTCTGTACAGAATCAGATTAGTCTTACATGCGAGGAAGAAAGTCGCAACCAGCTCGCATTTTTAGACATACTTCTGAGTCGAAGAGACGATGGCTCAATAAGACGTTCTATCTACAGAAAGCCCACTTGGACAGGGCAATATCTTAATTTTCACAGCTTCTGTCCATTACAATATAAGAGAGGCTTGGTGAAGTGTCTATTTAAGAGGATTCAGCGTATTTGCACGGCTGATGTTATAGACAAGGAAAACGAAATATTGATGGATACTCTTGTTGAAAACGGATATCCTTTGAAGTTTTTAAACAGGTGTAGAAGTCAACTAGCCTCTAAACCTACAATCCATACCGTCCCTAAGAAGAAGGTTTTCATCAAATTACCATATAATGGGGAAATAAATAGTAGGATTTTGAGACAAAGGTTGAATTCCATCATCCGTAGAACCTACTATGCAGCCCAGCTTGTAATTGTCGAAAAGGCTAAAAATATGCTTCACTGGAAACCTCAAAAGTGCACAAGTGATTATATCACATCCCATACAATTTACCAATTTTCATGTGTGTGTGGACATACATACATAGGGAGGAGTAATCGCGCGTTGCACGTGAGGGTGGGAGAGCATATCCCAAAGTGGTTAGGAAAACAGATGAATTGTGACAAGCCCATAGATGCAGGTGCCAGACTACCAACTTCGTCTATAGCTAAACATTAAATCGAGATGAACCATAAGGTTGATGTTAACTCAGCCTTTAAGGTCATCTATAACAACGGTCAAGGACGTTTACTGAAATACGCTGAGGCTATAGCCATTCATAAACTTAAGCCCCCCTTGTGTATTCAAAAACAGTTTGTTATTACTCTTAACCTACCTTGGTAATCCTTATTTGATTGGATTACCAAACGTTTGTGTTAATTATTCTTAATTCTTTTTTTGTCACCTTGTTTAATTTAACCTTTTCCATATATATTGACTTGACAAGTAAATGTGTGATCAGATTGTTCGAAATGTATAGCGCTAATACATCACATTTTTCAGATAATCTCCGTCTTCTAATAATGCTATCAAAATTTGAATGTTGGTTGTTCCAGTCAAAATGATGTCCGTGGTTATCTGTGTGCAGTGAGTAATATGAGGGAGTAGATGTTCATGTCTTTTGATGGCTAGTTTATGTTTATGGATGCGAAGACGAAGAGGACGTCCACTTTGGCAAATTTGGTGTTTTTTGCAGTCGTTACAGTTTATTTTGGAGATGATGTTGGTTATATCTTCTGGTTGACACAGAGCCAGCTGAATGAAGTAATTTTGTTGGTTTGTGTGCTACATCAATTCCTAAAGGTTTGAAGAATCTTGCAGTGATTTCTGAGATGTCCTTTATTTATGATAGGGCGATTTTCTTCATGCTTTCCTTGGGGGCTTTTGGTTTATTTATCAGTTTAGACAGACACTTTAGTAAACAGAATAAAAGTTGAAATATATGAATTATTGTGCATCGGTATCAGTGGTTTATTGGGAGAATACTCGCCAACTGGGTGTACGTGGTCTGTGGCTTGACCTCCGACAGACAAACTCTTTAACCTCTCTTAGTTAGTAGGTAAGGTCAGTAGCGGGAAGGCTGAACATGAGGCTAGCAACCCCATACTGTAAAAAGAATAACAGCCAATGTTACTGAAATTTCAAAGCTCAAGAGGCTTAAAGCCCCGCCACCCCTATATTCCACTCAAAACGCAAGGGAATCAATAAAAAGAAGAATTATCGGCTACTAATCACGGTGGTAAATGCCAATATAATTCATATAATTGGTCAGTCGGTTAATCAGCTGGCTTTCTACAACATTGGTTCAGCGGTAGAACAACACTTTCAACCCAACGTGAAAGGTCCGGATTCGATTCTCAGCAGATGCCCTTTGAAGCCTCGACTAACTCTTACCAGTCAAATCCTTAACCCGAGAGAGAGAGAAGTTAACAACCCCAACCAGTAAAAATAAACAACAACCCCACGACTGCTGAGAATTCAAAAGTTTGAAGTCCCATTTTCTACTTAGAATGAGAGGGAATAAAAAGGCAACGACAAAGTCAGTCATTATGGATGTGTCAGCAGCGAAATTTTATAATTGTGAAGGGGTTTTTGATTAGAAAAAGAACTAAGGCATCATTAAAGTGTCTATGTTGAAAGCCAATAAGACAAAAAACAGGTTATTTCACTACAATATTATATAGAGGATGGGTGCCAAATTTGATTCTCCGTGAGAACAACATCATTCATTGGGGATGATGCAGGTGAGACCGATTGATGAGTCCCAAAATAAGTCAAAACACGTGTTATAGGCTCCACTGCTAACTAACATAAACTATAACTATATACAAGAGAAAACACTTTGCGGAGAAAAGTGGAGTAAACTGTCATCATGACAACCTTCCGTATAAAAAGTAACATGGAGGTGTTATGACATTCTAATCGCCGTTCCACACCCACTCTGATAGAGATAAATAATCAGCACTATTGGACTCAGTGCGTCGGTGGCATAGTGGTTAGGACGCCCGCCGACCATGCACATGGTCCGGGGTTCGATCCCCGGCCGACACACTCCTCTACCTCGCTAAGCCAGAAATAATGTTGGTAAAGAGAAAAGGTTGGGCATGAGGCTAGCAACCCCATCCTGTAAAATAAACACTGCTACAGAAACTTCAAGCCACTAGTTTGAAGACCTATGTTCCACTGCGGAACGTGAAGTAAATAAAAAAAAACTGTTGGACTCAAGAAAACTGTTGTGAAGTAAATATTTCACTATACACGTAAATTTTCATGGTTTGTTAATTATACTGCAAAAAAACCACAACCAATAATTCATATATTTACTGAATTTCAGTGGATAATCATGTGAAATGCCATTTGATTGCACAACTATTCGACGCTAACTTAGTGAATAATATACAGTCGAATGAAAATTTCCATACAGCATGCAGCAGTTGTCTGAGATCATTTCCATCCATCCTGACTGACTGAGTGACTGCTTTCAACAGAAAACTTCGCATAGAAGTGCAACAGTTCAAGTTGTCACACTCCATATATTAGTACATAACGAAAGACAGAAGAAAGAAGAAAAGGATTTGGAAGAACAATTATAAGTAGGAATATGTGAGGAAGTAAGATAAGTAACACGGAGAAACAATAAGGTTCCATTGGATATAGCAGACTGCAGACAATGAATGCATCTGCGTCCCGTTGATAACGATTTCGAGCCAAAAAAAATACAACACCGACTGTCTACAATCAGTGAGTTTGAAGCATCCCGAGCGACTCACCACCCAGGAAGTGTACACCTCCCTCCTTACGTGGCTCAAACTAATTGTCATGGATTAATTTCATTGAATGATGAAGACATGTTTCCGTTTGACCACTACAAGCTCTCTCTTTTCCAACCTGATCGATCCCATGTCAGTCAGCTAACATTGAACGTCGAGGAAGACAATCGATGGTTAGGCATGAGTAACACATTCTAAACATCTCGATCGATGCAGCTGTTTCACAACCTCGTCGATTGATTTCCTCCCCCACCTTACCTAGAACTCGACCAATGCCTAACCTCGATATTACTCACCATATTATACCACCACTTAACACAGGACATAGAACGCAGACACCTACGATCAAAGCCAGCTAACTGGCCTTTTCAAATCTTCCACTTTTAATGTCCATATCTCACAGCCATAAAGGAGGACAGAGCAAACTGATGAGCAGTACACACACCATTGGGGTCGACAGCCAGTCGGATATCACGTCTAATGAGGCAGAAATGGCGTAAGTTGCCGCGTACCAAACGAGCCTTCTGTACCCGTGTTGAGATTTCGTCAGCGAACAACCCGTTAGGGCTGGCTGATGCAACTTCTCAAACAATAAGTGAAGTGGCCAACACGCTCCATCACTTCACTCCCTATCTTAAAGCTAGGATTAGTCAGTGTACTCCACCAGTCCTGTGGCACCACGTTATATTTCGCAGGAGCAAATCGCATGCTAAACATTCATAGATTGCTGCTTCTCAAGGTGTTCAGAAGACTCTGCACTTTATCATCGGGTTTCATGGCTGCCCACAAACTCTCATTTCTTCCTCACACACAACCCTCTCCATCGATCTCACTCTCAGATGCTTCACTGGTCCTTTTCTATTCGCAGACTAGGTATTAATATTAGCTAAGTCATATTTTAAATATACACCTACATATACAAACAAATATATATTCAATGTTATTGTTTTGCGTAGAATATATATATATGGCTCTACCTGATAATGTGATACAATAGAGTTGTTTATTTTCTGCCATCCCTGGGAATATCTCTTTCTCGATTGAAGTTGGACGAAGCTAAAAATGAACAATACAAAAATATACACGTTAAATCATTGGCAATAATAATAATAATTAAAAAGATGGTTGCAACAAAGGAAATTTTCTTTCCAATGAAATCATCAACTAGATCCAGGTCAACTCGCCTCCCTACCCCCGACAAGAGGATCCTGACGATGATGATGATGAAACGTGGCAACTCGAACTGCTGCACTTCGGTGACAAGTTCTATGTTGAATCCAGCCAGCCACACATTAAGGACCGAAACCCACGATCTTTAGGTTTCGAGATAAAGTTCGCCAGCTATTCATTTCACCCAGTGTAACGGAATCCAAAGCTTTATAACTTCAGCAAACTGGCGAAATATACTCCTCTCACACCCGCCTTGGAACCCCCTCCAGTGGTCACCACTTCTTAGTAGAACTCTAGGCAACTCTACCCAGTAAGCAGTTACTACAGTGAAACAGTAACACAGGAATAACAATATTGTAATATACATCACTGACAACAAAAACAGCAATCATTACAAACAAAAAAGGCGAACTTACAGGTATCTTGTCGATAACACTAGGATTTAACAGGTATATACCAGCATTGATTTTATTACCAACAAATTCAATTGGTTTTTCTACAAAACGATCTACCCGTCCAGTGGTTTGATCGTAGACAACAACACCATATTTTGAAGGTTCTTCAACTTGGGTTACCTGATTGAAATATTAGGGACGAAAAAAAAGAATTCAACTGAATTCAACAAAATCATAATCCAAGTGTTGGTTTGTAGGGATTTGATTGGTTACAGGATTTTCATCATGAGATGACATTAGTCAGAGAAGCACTGGAAAACCTGGGAGTATTGGACAGCTGTTTCGTCCCAGTTTGGGACTCTTCGGCAGTACGCACCACCCACCGCCGGGGTTCGAACCCAGGGCCTTCTGGTTACAAGGAGAGCTCGTATACCATTAAGTCACTGGGACCCAATCCAATGGCCCATGAATTCTAGCTTCTGCCAATTCACGACATAGCGCGACCCCTAGCCAATGTCTTCGGCGAGTATTTGTCCTCACACCCGACCTGCTGCACGCTACTGGTCACGACTTCTCACTATAACCCCAGGTAATTACCTGGAGGTAACTAACCCCCAACCATCCGTATAGTCCAGGAGTTTGACTCTCTTGTTGACACACGACTAAACTTCGCTTAGCCAGGGTACTAAGACCGGAAAAGAGGGGGCGTTTAGACGTGAGGCTAGCGATCCTCCCCCACCCTGAAAAAAATATAAAAATAAAAACTATTGCTACTGAAACTTCAAAGCTTAAGCTTCGAGCCCTCTGTTCTACCCAAGAAGCAAAGGAATATATATATATACATATATATATATATATATATATATATATATATATATATGAGACACCGTGTTATATCTACTATTACGTAGAAATGTATAGACTAGTAACGGGTAGAGTTAAAACCTTTTAAAGAGCGAAGTTACTTTATTGGAGTTTAACCCACCATCCACATAATTTGATGGTTGCATCGGTTTTATTTGTAAGAAGGCTGAAGTATTGTCCGAACGCCCAGACTGAAGCAAGTGGTTGTCGTCTTAAGGGGCCATCTCTTGTGTCTCTTGCAGGTGAAAACCAACAACAAACTGACAGAAGAAGCAACGAAGACAGGACTTCAAATGAACATAGGAAGGATAGAGGTGATGAAGACAGCTAACCAATAAAAACAACAACAGCAACAACAAGCAACAATCACCATCAACAGGAGAAATTTGAAGGGAGTTACTGCTTTTATTACTTATTTGCGGAGCAACGTTTCAACCTACAGGCGACACAAAAGAAATTGTCATGGGCAGGCAGAATCAGAAAAGCAAGACAAATATTCGCTACTCTGGAATCAGTGTGTGGAAATCTGCTGGAATCACAACAAAAACAACAAGATTTAGTTGTTGTTGTTGTTTTTTCAACACTAGTGTCAAGTTAATGCTTCTTTGTGGTTCAGATATGATGCACGCATCACACCAAAGGCATTTTCAACAGATTTTCATCATTAACAGCTAGCTCCCTTTACTGCCTTTATACGGAATATTTTATGGTCAGAAAGAATAAGCAACAAGGAACTCTCAGGGAACGAACTAACTAACAACTACCTATACAAGGAAATGCAGATGAATCAGAAACGCGGAGAAGACCGCTGAAAGCATTTGCACTTTCACACGGAACCCGAATAGAAATCGGCGAGTTTTATGGGGCCTGGGATGGGGGGGATCTAGGATGACATTGAGAAGATCGTATAAAGAGGAGATGGGAGCTTAAGGGTAATCGTAGAGGTAGCTAAAAAGAACTTTAGAGGACAGAGTGAAGTGTAAATGTGCTGCTCTGTAGGTGTATGTTTCCACCAAGAACCCAAGAGAATAATAATAGTAAGGTGGAGTTTACTGCTCATGATATCAAATAACTGTCCTATAAAATTCATTAGGAAGATGAGAAAATATCAAAAGCAAAATAGAAATAATTCTGAAACTAGTAATGATAACATAAATAAGCGAGAATATAAGTCATCTACTGTTATACCATATAAGGAGGGGACATTTGAGAACCTATGTAGGATTTTTAATAAAGCAGGAATTGGAGTGGCATTTAAACCTACAAACTCACTTATGGAAAAGCTTTGTAGGCTAAAAGACTCTGTAGGTTGACCCAATTAGATAAAATAATATAATTTACAAAATACCTTGCAATGACTGTGAGTCAGGTCTGCTACATTGGTTAAACTATTAGAATCTAGCTAAAGTTTGGGCGTAATTCTAGCAACCTTACTCCGTAAAAGACAACACACACACACACCGTCACTACTCAAACTTCAAGGTCAAAGCTTGAAACCCTACGGAGTGGGGGGGGGGCGGGCGGGTTCCACCACTCAGAATGCAAAGGAATGAAACAGAATATTCTTTTTATAACGAATAACCAAGTTTGATGGCTGACTGACTGGCTGGCTTATGACATAAATAACATTTGGCACTCTATTTATAATTGAATAAGGAATTTTAGTTTCTCTACAAACACGCTTTACAACTAGCATAGGTTCACAATAATAAAATTACTCAGTTATATAAATAAAACAATCATATTTCTAAATAGGTCAAGTAGTCCATCATAGCAGTAGGCGAAGGTTAAAGTCTATTGTTTGTTGTTGTTGTTTTTTGTACACATAGTTTAGTATGTAGGTATTATGTATGTAATGATTATTCCAAAGTGCTTCCATTACCTTTAATTTACCAACCTTGAATTAGAGTTATGTAGTGCAATAATTGTGAAGCAGTCATTATTATATATATATATATATATATATATATATATATATATATATATATATATATATATACATATTTTATGACCTGATATTATTAATAAGTGCTTAGCAAATGGCTGATGATAATGGATTCTTGGAAAGTGAATCTGATATTTCCTCTACATAGTAAGATAATTATCTCTAATATAAGTAACAGGAATAGGTAACTGTACGTCACATTGCTTGTAGTGTAACCACAAATGAAATCAATAGTTTCATGAAGTGGATGGAACACTGGTGAATAAAGATTGATTCCATGTCGATTGAGCACATCTATTGCTGTGTTGTGTTGAGAGTAACTGTCATTTTTATTTTATTATTAATATGAACCATACTATAGTTGTAAAGCGATTGTAGAGACACTATGAAATGACAGTATTATCTCGCTAAAGTTGTTTTCTATATGCCTTATTCGTTTCGCCAGACAGTGGGAAACGAGAAGACAGAGATATCCTGGACCGACGTCAGGAACCTAGAAGACCTGGATTTCGCACGTGGATGATTTATGTTTGATGTCACACAATATCGAAGATTTACAAGCGAAAACTGACAAACTGGTCGAAGAAGCAGGCAGTGAAGGCAGGACTCCAGGTGAACATAGACAAGACGGAGGTTATGAAAATAACCAACCAACAACAACAACAGCAGCAACATCCAACGCCAATCACCATCAACGCGAGTAGTTTGAAAGAGGTCACTTCATTCACTTACCTAGGGAGCATTGTCTCAACTACAGGAGGAACGGATGAGGATGTCAAATCGAGAATCGGGAAGGCGAGAAACACATTCATCAACCTCGAACCAATCTGGAAATCTTCGTCACTCAGCCTGCATCAACAACAAAATTCAGATTTTCAATACAAACGTCAAGTCAGTCAGTTCTTCTATACGGATCAGCAGAAACTTGGCGGGTCACAAAGAATATTTCCAGCAGCTTGTTGCAGACCTTTATCAACAACTGTCTTCATTCTATACTCAAGATCAGATGGCCGCCGGAAAGAATCACTAACAAGAAACTATGGGAACAAACAAGACAAGAACCAATCGCTCAACAAATATGCAGGAGAAAGTGGAGATGGATTGGACACTGGCTGAGGAGGCCGCTGGGAGACATCGCGCGTCAGGCCATTGCTCGAGTGGAACCCGAAAGGGAAGCGGTGAGTGGAATGTCCAAGGGTGACATGGAGGAGATCGTGTGAAGAGGAGTTGAAACAGTATGGACTAAAATGGATGCAAGTGAAAAGTACAGCAGAAGACAGAAACAAGTGGAGACGTGCAGTTGAAGCCGTATGTTCCACTAGGAACCCAAAAGAACAATAATAATTATAATAATATTCAATTTCATCTATCGTACTTAATATACGTGTTTTCAGATGACTTTTCAATTTTCAACGCTTATAGATGATGACTGGTCGACCGGGGACGGAGGGCTCTCGAGTGGTTGCGCCACAGGATGATCCTGCATGCCGGTCTCGTCTTGCAAGAGGCAGGGATGGGTGTGTTTGGTTCTCCTGAAAACCAATACCCAGTCAATGGGTGTATCACTGTGTGAATGCGTCGGTGGCTTAGCGGTTAGGATGCCCGCCGACTATTCACATGGTTCGGGGTTCGATCCTCGGTCGACGCACTCCTTTACCTCGCTAAGCCAGAAATAAGACTGGTAAAGAGGAAAGGTTTGACATGAAGCTAGCAACCCCATCCTGTAAAATAAACACTGCTATAGAAACTTCAAGTCCCTAGCTTGAAGCCCTATGTTCCACTGGGGAACGTGAAGGAAAAAAAAAATAGATGATGACACAGAATTTGGTTAGAAAAAAAGTTAAAAAAGTGGTTGAATTAAAATATAGCGTTGATCTGTGACATCTTTCACTATTGGTTGGGGAACTGTAAAGATTGTGTAGACTGCCTGTCTGTGCGGGACTTCGGACAGTGAAAATCAATGGCTACAGAACAGTGTTGGTAACATCTCTCGAAATCTTCCCCAGTGGTATATACAAGTGCGATAGTTACCTGGGGTTCTCTAGTGGGAAGTCGTGATCAGTAGAGTACAGCAGGTCAGGCATGAGGACAAACGCTCACCGAAGACATTGGCTAGTGGTTGCGTAGAAGTTGGAATTGATAGGTCGGCCATTGGATCAGGTGTCAGTGGCTTAATGGTCTAAGAGCTTGTTAGGCTTGTAACCAGTAAATCCTAGGTTCGAACTCTGGCGGTGTGCGCGTACTGATGAAGAGTCCCAACCTGGGACGAAACAACTGTCCAGTACTCCCAGGTTTTCCAATGGTTCTCTAACCAATCCTGTAACCATTATATAGAGTTCCTGTGCATTTTGTTCACTCGGCACATTCACATCTGTGTTTTAATGTAGAGTCTAACAACCTGAACTGGTGTACTTTTGTGTGTAATTCTATATTGAAAATTCAATCAATTATCTTATGTATAAACAAGGCACAGGTTAGTAGAAACCCTTATGGATATCATAAACGAATAAATGACTGACTAGTTTCAATGTAGAAATACTTCGCACAGATGTACACCCGTTCCAGTTGCCACACACACACACACTCTCTCTCAATGTAACACACTAAAACAAAATGGTTTGAAATTATGCCAAAATCATGTAATATACCTAGAATATATGGCAAGATAAAATTGCATAAAGAGGGATATCCAATAAGAACGATTGTAGACTTTAGAAACACACCGACGTATATGCTATCAAGATTTCTCTCGACAATACTAAGACCAACAAGAGACAACTCAAAAGCTAGAATAGTAGATTCATTTGAATTAATGAAGCGACTAAAAACCACTAAAATAGAGGAAGATGAAATACTGGTCAGCTTTGATGTAAACAGTCTCTACACGAAAATACCCATTCAAATGGCCATGAATGCACTGAAAGAGAAACTAAAAGAAGACAATGGCCTAAAAGACAGAACACAGTTATCCGTAGAAGAGATAATAAAACGGGTGGAATTCTGTCTGACAACAACATATTTCACATTCGAAGGGAAGATATACCAACAAAATGAAGGAGTGACCATGGGATCGCCTATCTCACCAATAATAGCTGACATATTCATGGATTATTGGGAAGAGAATGCCCTTAAACCATTCAGGTCATCACTAAAATGTTGGTGGAGATATGTAGACGACACACTAGTAATAGTGAAAAAAAACGATATTGAGAAACTCTTCTCACACATAAACAGCCATGTCGACTCAATAAAATTCACTATGGAAGTAGAGAATGAAACTGGGGAACTACCTATGTTAGACTGCAAAATACAAAGAATAACAGATGGTAGCATTAAAACGACGATATATAGAAAAACCACACACTCTGGAAGATTCCTTGATTATCACTCAGCTCATCCACTCTCGGTGAAACGAGGATTAATACAAGGTCTTGCAGATAGAATACGTAGACTTACAACAACGCCAGAGGACCAGTGTAAAGAAATAAATGTCCTATTCAAAATGCTACTCGAAAACAACTAACTAAAAGAATTTATAAAAGATAATATAAAAAGAGAAAAAAGAGGGTAAAACCGGAGAATAACAAGATGGAAGAATGCAAAAAGACAGTCACAATACCATATAAAAATGGTACATCAGAAGCAATCCAAAGAAACCTCAAATATATCGGCATTCACACAACTTTTAAACCGACAGATCTAATCAAAAATAAAATAAATCAACTGAAAGACCCCATAAAAATGATGGATAAAAACAATGGGAATTATTAAATTATTGAAAAACAACTTGATTTACAAACAGATATCTTGTGCTGACTATTCGACTAAATATGTGGGGTAAACGTCCAGATCACTCAAAATAAGAGTGAATGAACATAAACGCTTAAGCAAAGGTCAACCAACAGGAACACAACCCTACAAAAATCCTGAAAAAAATTCATCGATAGCTGCACATGCATGGGAAAAAATCAATAATATCGATTGGGACAATGTGTGTATTCTAAAAACTAACATGAACAAATGGAAAGAAAGACTTATAACAGAATCGATATTCATTAAAGTCACACCGGATACATGTAACAAGGGTGACTCAGTACAACTATCAACAACTTGGAATATAATTCTGAATACAAACACATGAATGAACGTGGAATATAACTCAAATACAAAAAACATGAATGAGCAAAAATAATGAACTATATATGTGAGTACAAATCATAAATGTGTGAATCAAACAATTCCAACAGTGGTGTGAACACGGTCAGTAATTTTGCTCGAAATGTTACCAATAACAAAACTTATCATTGTGTGTAAACTATTGAAACATATAATTATACTTTATTTGATCTAATCCACAATGCTCAAACTTTTTACTCAAAAGAAGAGAGTTCAGAGAGAGAGAGAGAGATTCAAAACAGAGATAATAAACAAAAGTGTGAAGTAGGGAATAAAAAGACAGTTGCAGCGAAGAAAATTTTCTTTTCGACGAAGTCATCATCTAGGCTGTACATTCGTGTATTTATATCCATGTGATATAAATACACTAATGTACAGCCTAGATGATGACTTCGTCGAAAAGAAAATTTTCTTCGCTGCAACTGTCTTTTTATTCCCTATGATCAAAAGTGTGAAGGAAAAAATAATAATAATTTATTGGATATTATAAATCACAAAGACTGAATGCATCTGCGCACCAGCCATCACCGAGAACGATGAGTTTATTAAGCCATATATATATATCACCGATTGTCTCCAACCGTCATAAGTTTTTAACATCCCGCGGACCCCAACACCAGTCAGACACTCTACACCTCCCTGCCTACCAAGATGGGGCTTAACCGAACTGTTGGGGATTTCATTGCCTGATAAAGTCATGTTTCCGTTTAACCATCACCACCACCAACAACAACAACACCACTAGCTCTTTTATCCAGAAGTTCTCTAAAGAACGACAATGTTGGGAAACGATAAACTTTTCTTTCTTCTTCTTCTTCATATTATTATTAATGAATTAATATCCAAAATAAAAAACTCACCAGAATTGTGCCTTCTTTTCCATGACTTTTATGAAAATCCATAATTGCTTTGAAAGGGAACTCACACATCACATCACTATTGAGTACAAAAAATGGATTATCATCAACAAGTAGCATATCTTTAGCTAAAGCGATTGGACCAGCTACAAAAGATAAACAGACAAAAAAATAAGAAATAAAGACAGAGGCATTTCAGCGAAGAGGTTACTCACTCCTCTTTTTTACAGGCGATATCATATTCCTGAAGCTGTACAATCGCATATATGTATAGTATAAATTCTTCTCTTAACACAACAGAAGGAATATTTCCTAAGATGAGAAACCAGAATTGTAAATTTTACATGACAAACTATGAAATTTAACGAGTTGATCACGGACTGATATCAGTTAGAGAATCATTGAAAACCAGCACTGGAGTACTGGACAGCTACTGTTTCATCCTAGTTTGGGAATCATCGATAGTACGCACCCACTGGGATCCGAACCCAGCACCTTCTGGTTACAAGGCCAGCAAGCCCGTATACCATTCAGCCACTGGGACCCGATTCAATGGCCAGCCCATGAATTCTAACTTCTACCAATTCGTGATTTAGCGCGACCCCAACCATTGTCGTTGGTGGGACATCCATCCACACACGTGACATCTAATTGAACCTCACTGGTCACGACTTCTCACTAGAACTCCAGGAAGCTCCATCCTGTAGCAAGTCACTAGCGAGCATGAAATTTAAATAAAGCAATAAGAAGACGTAATTTGTCTGAATCGTGTAAGGTATTTGCGCGCACAACACACATTTCGAACAATCTGATTACACACACACACAGACTTGTCATATGAAATTAATAAAGAGTTAAGAGGTGAGAAATAGAAATAGACTTAGGTCAAGTTAAAAGGATATATTGAAGGTCAAAATAACAATGAACACCACTAAACCAAATAACAGAGGTAATAGTACATCTACCCTGACTGGTATCAAAACAAAGTTTACCAAGGAAGGTTTAATGTGATGACGAATTGTTGCTTTGAACGCATAAAGGTGGTTTAAACCTCCTAATCACACTTGGGCTTCCACAAACTTTAGGATACGCCCTCCCCCAAACACGTTTTATAGATAGGTTTAAAAGATCGTTTAACGTCAACTTTATGTCCTGTTTCCTTAATATGTTTCGTAATAGAGGAGCTGTTATCACCATTAATGGTTTCTGAAGATTCCATTTGTTTCTGGAGACATTTAGTAATATGCTATGAAGCCAGTCGTTACTTGCAGAGATCGATGAGTCCTCCTTATGTATGTGTGTCCACACGTACATTCAAATCGGTAAATACAGTGGGATGTGACATCATTTTTCGCATTTTCGAAGGGCTTAGATAGATATAATGGCTTCACATTCTCTATTATTATGAAATGGGCTGCGTAAAAAGTCTTTTTGACAGCAGCATTCAGTCTTTGTCTAGTTATCAAGCTGCTATGATGCCCCATAAAGGGTAGCTTGATGTACACGTCTTTCTTAGGGGCGAGTTGGAGAGTGGGTGTTGGTGTTCTGACTACTTTATATCTCCTGATGAACTTGTCTGGATAATTGTTATCGACCAGAGTTTGCGTCAACTTTCTTTCTTCTTCATCAAGTGTGTCTTCAGTGCATATTCGTTGGATTCTACTGAAGAAGCACCTTACTGAGGCTGTTTTGTACCGAACAGGGCAGATACTGTCCTGGCCATGTAGGTTTTCTATTAGTTGATCGCTTTATTGACCCATAAAGCCGTCGACTAAGCAATATGTCTAGGAAAGATAAACAATTATCTTCCTCTTCTACCGATGTAAGTGATATGCTATTCTGAACTTCATTCATTCGATTTAAAATTGAGCTGGCAGGACAAGACTTATCATTGATGATTACAATATCACCTACAGGCCTTCTATAAAGTGGCACATTTTCGACTAAATCCTCCGACAGATTCTCAATGTACGACATATAAATATCTGCTAAAAGGAGCCCTAACGGACTTTCCATAGCAACACTATCAACTTGGCGGAAACAATCGCCTTCAAATGTAAACCTAACATTGTTAGCACATAGAAGTAATAAATCCCTTAAATAAAATATACGGAACGGGATTAAAAAAATGTTTGTGGAAATGTAATCACACAAAATATCAACTGTTTCGAGCAAAGGCACATTAGTGAATAACGAGTTGCGCAAATACATTACACACACGATTCAGACAAATTACGTCTTCTTATTACTTTACCTAAATTCATAAAGGGAACTAATTGTTTTAAACTATGAAATGTAGAAAGCGTTAATCGAGTGGAAACTAAAAATTAAATAAGTAAGTTGAGTGACGTAATATAATTGATGGAACTGAGTAGAATTTAACTAAAATTTGAACGAGAGTCAAGTTAACAAGAGTGTGGTAATAAGGAGTACAGATTTAATAAGGGAGTGGGGGAAAGAATATAATTAGGAAACAAAAATTACGTATTTGGTGTTAAGACAGATAAGGTCCATTGTAGATTTAATGACTGGACAAACTTCCACTTTTGTATGCAGAGTTCAGGAGTTAACACGCAAATCGCTATTGCTTCTGCGGTTCGTACTCTTTTAGTAAGATTTCTGCATATGCTGTGGACAACTTTGAAGTTTCTTTGCAGGTTAGCTTGATGTCCAGATTCGATCAGGTGTTCCAGGATAGAGCTGCTGTGGCGAGCGGATCTCCCCTCACGTTCATAAGGATTATTGATTTCGTAGAGAAAGTTATTCAAAGTTCAGCTGAGAAGGTTTTCTTAAGTGAGTTTCCGTAGGATTATAAATTCAAGTAGAGACGCTTTTGGGGAGCAGAAAGTGTGCGCGATTCAAGTGGTTTAGGTTTCGTAGACTTCGTGATGAAACGACGTACTGGGTGGCCCCATTTTCGAGGATTCTTTTCACAGTGTTCAGCAGCTTCTCTTCCATAGCGCGTCAGACTGCAAATTCTGAGGATTCTATCGTTCAGTGAACGGATCAGCTTTCTTTTCGTATATATAGAGGCACCCAACTATGAAAGTTAGTGAGTTGTCCGTTCCATGTTAGCTTTAGTGGTCTATCTTGTTCACGTCTTGTTAACTAGACATCCAGAAAAGATATTTGTGTGTCGGACTCCTTATCTATTGTGAACTGAATCGCAGAATGGCAGCTGTTGAAAAAGTTCAGGATGTCCACCAAATTCTCCTCGTTACTGGAGATAATAAAAGTATCGTCTAATATGTGTGTTATACAAAATGTGTACTATGTGAAACACATAACACTAAAGCTAACTGACTGAGTTTCAACAGAGAAGTTAAAACAGAATTGTAGCAGCTGAAGGCGCCATACTCCATGTGTATCACACAAAGGCAGATGAAAGGAGAAAGAAGAGATTCAAAAGAAGGATAATAAGCAGAAATGTGAAGGAGAAAGAACAGCAAAACAGGGAAAAAATGATTATATTATTATTATTGTACCCTTGGGTTCCTAGTGGAACATAGGGCTTCAACTGCACGCCTCCACTTGCTTCTGTCTTCTGCTGTACTTTTCACCTGCATCCATGTTAGTCCATACTGTTTCAACTTCTCTTCACACGATCTCCTCCATGTCACACTTCGACGTCCCACTCGCCGCTTCCCTTTCGGGTTCCACTCGAGCTATGGCCTGACGCGCGATGTCACCCAGCGGCCTCCTCAGCCACGAGTGTCCAATCCATCTCCACTTTCTCCTGCATATTTGTTGAGCGATTGGTTCTTGTTTTGTTTGTTCCCATAGTTTCTTGTTGGTGATCCTTTCCGGCGGCCATTTGATCTTCAGTATAGAGCGAAGACAGTTGTTGATAAAGGTCTGCAACAGGCTGTTGGAAATTTTCTTTGTGACCCACCAAGTTTCTGATCCGTATAGAAGAAGTGACTGACTTGACGTTTGTTTTGGAAATCCGAATTCTGTTGTTGATGCTGAGTGACGAAGATTTCCAGATTGGTTTCAGGTTGATGAATGTGTTTCTCGCCTTCCCGATTCTCGATTTGACATCTTCGTCCGTTCCACCTGCCTGTAGTTGAGACAATGCTCCCTAGATAAGTGAATGAAGTAACCTCTTTCAAATCCCTCCCGTTGATGGTGATTGGCGCTGGATGTGGCTGCTGCTGTTGTTGTTGTTGGTTGGTTATTTTCATAACCTCCGTCTTGTCTATGTTCACCTGGAGTCCTGTCTTCGCTGCTGCTTCTTCGACCAGTTTGTCGGTTTATTAGATATGAGAGTTCACAGAGAGTGAATGCATCTGCGCCAGCCATTGGTTTTTGGAACCCTGAGAACCCCAACCAGATAGTCTATACCTCCGTACGTAGCTGGTTCAAACCAATTGTTAAATGTTTTCGTTTGACTACCACCAGCTCTTTCCCAGCCCATTCTTATGTCAGTCAACATTTCCCGTCGAGGAAGGTGATGGCTCCGAATACGCAGTATGTGTCCTAGACACCTCCTCCTCCTCAATCGATGTAGCTTAACAACTTTATCGATTGACTAAAACTCCTTACCTAAGACTGTGGGCCTAACCTTAATATTTCACACCACGTTATACCACTTAACACGGAAGATAGAACGCAGACATCTGTAATCAAAGAGAGATGCTGGTGGCTGGCTGGATTCAACATAGAACTTGGCACTGAAGTGCAGCACTTCCAGTTGCCACGTTCCAAATAGCACACAAACGTAGACAAGAAAATGAGTGAAGAGAATCAATAGAGTTTTGACAAGTATAAGAGTGAAACAGAATGAGTAGTGGTAGAAAGGAATATGAAAGATTACAGAGACTGAATACATCTGCGTAAGCCATTGACAACGATTTTCAGCCATGTCACGTATTGTCTCCAGCCATTGATTCTTAGAGTCCCGAAGGCGGGCCCCAACCCGGAAGTCTGCATCTCCCTCCCTGCCTGACTCAGTTTAACTGTCAGGGATTTCATGAATTGATGCCGTGTTTTTGTTTGGCCACCACTTACTCTTTTCCAACCCACAACACCTATATTACCTAGTAATGCCCGTCCGTCGGGGGAGGCGATGGCTAGGCATGCGCAGCACGTCACCTAGCCATTTCAATCTATGTAACTTTATAGCCTCTTC